CTTTCCACAGAACAACTGTGTCAACTCTTGAAACTGTGCCTGCAGTCAACCTACTTCACATATGGGGAGCAATATTATAGGCAGAAACATGGGTGTGCTATGGGGTCTCCAGTTTCTCCTATTGTTGCCAACCTGTACATGGAGGAGGTAGAAAAGAGAGCCTTGACGTCCTTTTCAGGGACACCACCAAGTCATTGGTTCAGGTATGTTGACGACACCTGGGTTAAAATTAAATCTCAGGAAGTCCAACATTTTACTGACCACATCAACTCTGTGGATAAATACATCAAGTTCACATGAGAAGATGTAAAAAAAATGGCAAGATGGCTTTCTTGGACTGTGAGGTCTCAGTCTCTGATCGAGGACATTTGCAAACTGAGGTGTTCCGCAAACCCACCCACACAGACCAGATCCAACATTTAAAAAAAAAAGAAAGACAAAAAAGAAAACTGAAAAAAATCACACAAAAAAAAAAAGAAACTGTCCAGATGACCTGACTGAAAAATGTTGGATTTTATACCTGGATTATTGAGCATGGACTTTGTTATACTTCTAAGTATAATAAAAATAGGCAATCATAGTTTCCTTACATGGTAGGAGGTGGCTGGTTTATATATATGGCCATGTTGGTGGCCATATTGGATTTTGCTGTGGAAACCCAATTTTTTATTGTGACCTTTCATTCACCTAGATGTAGCCACACACAAAAATGGAAGTTGGTACATCACTTATTTTTGACGTTATAAAGCCGAGAAAATGGATGGATGGAAGAACAGACAGACGGAAGGATGGATGAATGTAAAGAAGGACAGACTGATGGAGGAAAGACAGATGAATGGGTGAATGGATAGTGATGATATATGGATGGATGGATGAATGGATGGATGGATGGATGGATGGATGGATGGAAGGATGGACAGACAGATGGATGAATCAAAGGTTTGTCACACAACAATTCGTTGAATAGTCTGCTCTAAAACAACGTTTGGACATTTTCTAAACACAATTACAGCCTCAGTTCATGTCGTTAGTCCTGTTGAAGCTTCAACATTCAGATAACCAAATCATTTTAGTCTTATTAACCCACCATGCGGTTCTACACTTTTTAAGAGAAAAAAAAAAAGTTGCATCATAAAATATGAAAATGGAAATAATTAATTGAGAAACTATAAGCGAATTAATAGTTTATTATTCAATAATGGTCAATCAGGTCATCTGGACATAATTTTTTTTTTGTGGAAAAACGTTTCACCCTCTATCCAGAGGACTTCATCAGTCTGAGGAGTCCCAAGTAAACTGTTTTCACCAATAAGCAGTGTACTCTTTTAGTGGACCAACCAGTTTGCTGCTGATAAGATGGTTTCTGGAGGCTGTCCTGTCCCCCGTCGACTCCTCCCAGACAGGCAGCCGCAGCCAAAGTGGTTCAAGACATCAAAGTTCATGCTCAGTCATCATGTCAATCAGTCTGAGGGACTCCTCAGACTGATGAAGCCCTCCGGATAGAGGGCGAAACATCTTTCCGCAAAAAATATACTGTCCAGACGACCTGTTTGACCATTATTGGATTTTGTACCTGGATGATTGAGCATGAACTTCAAATAGTTTATAATATTAGAGGTTCACAGTTGGACCATTCTGTCAGTGGAAAGCCACCATATCCTTGTTTTATTTGTCTTCTTTAATTTATGCAGTTGCTTACATTTAAATAATTACTCGACAGTTATTTCAAGCACAACTTCAACTAGAAGAAATGTTCAAGGCAAATTTCTACACAACCTGTAATGTTTCCAAACTCAATTAATAATTGGATGCAATAATCATGATGATGATATTAACTAAAATATTGTGTTTATTATTTATTCTTTAATCAAGGAGCCTCTCTGGGACCTGAAAAACAGCAGTAAATACAAGAAGCAATGTTCACCTTTAAGTATAATAGAACTAAATGGTCTACTGGCTAATCATTCCAAATAATAAATATGTTGAAAGGCGTTTCTTATTTCTATCATTGTCACTTTTTACACATTATGAATCAAAACCAGGTACTTTTTCTTCCTTCTCTGGGTTTTCTCTCAAATCTCAGCCAGACTTTCATGACAGCTCAGTCCATCACATGAAGGAGAACACACTTCTGCCTTGAAGCTATTTAACAAGTTATGGAAACATTATTAATAACTTCTCATTTGCTTCTTCACTAATATCTGCGTCCAAAACAAGCAGCTGCTGGGAGTTATCCATAATTTATGATCAGATGAATGAATTGAGCATTTGTTGAACATGATGAAGAGTCAAATTGGAAAAAGTGAGCATGCATCTGTTCTGTCTTTACTGTGCTCCGGGTGTCTTTACCTGCAGATCCAGAGGAGAGGCGCGTGGCTGCAGCTTGGTGGGGACTCCCCGAACAGAGCCGGACCTCCTCCTGACGCTGCTCCGGACTCTCTGCCACCTTGCTGCAGCCGACGTGTTCGCTCCCTGCCTGGATCTTCATACCTGTGCTGATCTGCTGCTGGACTCCTGCCTCCTCATCATGACCCAGCATCCTCCTCCTCCTCTTTCTCCTCCTCCTCCTCCTCCTCACAGCTTGCTCATATCATTACGCATGATGGTATCTGCTTCCCTCCCCACTGTATTCGGGAATCTGAGAGCTGCATCCACCTCCATCCCCATCAGTCCAGCCTTCTCCCGGCTCGTGCTGCGCGTTCATGTTGCAGTGTTTTATGCGCGGCCGCGTCGCTTATGATGGAGTCGCAAAATGTGTAAATGATCACGGGACTGTGAGGACAAAGCTACATATTAACTACACGCAGACTGTGTGAGTTTAAGAAAGTACAGTATAGTGGGTTGTAACTCTTCTCCTCCTTCCCCAGGTCCCCTGTTATCTTCACTGCAAATAAACCTCTTTAATTCTTCAAGAGCCTGTTTGGCTCAGTGCAGTTACTACTCCCACAGGTTTTGTGCTATTTTAACAAATCATACATCAAAACATTCAGCTGTAGCTCATTTTACATCCTTCATAACTTTTGATTAATTTTTAACCTGGTACTACTACTTTCACATTTAGACCTGGTTAAGGTTCTTTCAGCTTCCTTGCACAAAATTTTAAACAAAATTCAGCTAGTTCAGCTAATTTCAGCTGTTTTTCGGTCCTTTCAGCTTCATTCTCCTAAAATCAACATGTTTGTGCTTCTTCAAACTTATTTATGCTAATTTATGCTTGTTCTGCTCCTTTCAGCTTATTGCTGGATGTTTCAGCCATTTCTGCTATTTCAGTTAGCATTTAGCTGTTTTCATGCTAATTTCATCTTTATCAGCTAATTCCACATTTTTTTGCAATCATTTAAACTTTTGTCAGCCTAATTCAGCCAAAACATGTTCCTCCGACATCCTACTAGTAATTGAAGCTTCTTTCTGCTTGTTTTAGCTACTATTTAGCTGTTTTTAGCAAATTCCTGCTTTTCGCAGATAATTTCAACTTTATTGTGCTAATTTCTGCCTGTTTCAGCCTTAGTGGGCACACTTAAGTTTCCTCCACTTCCTTTTGAAAATTTAAGCTTCTTTCTGCATTTCTTTAGCTACTATTCAGCTGTTTTATAGAGAAACTAGGATAACTCTGCCATTTTTTATAGCTATTCAGATAAAACTTGGCATATTGGTAGATGATAATGATCCCTAATAGACTTTGAATAAAATCAAAAAATTCAGCTAGTTCAGCTAATTTCAGCTGTTTTGTGCTCTTTTCAGCTTTATTCAGCTTACTTCAACATTTTTGTACTTCTAACTTATTTCTGCTAATTTCAGCTTGTTATGCTCCTTTCAGCTAATTTTTGGAAGATTCAGATATTTCTGCTATTTCAGCTACTATTTAGCTGTTTTATGCTAATTTCAGGTTTTTCAGCTAATTCCACATTTTTTAAAAATCAATCCAACTTTTTTCAGCTTAATTCAGCAAAATCATGCTCTACCCACTTCGTTCAAGTAACTTTAGCTTCATTCTGCTTGGTTTAGCTACTATTTAGCTGTTTTTGTCCAATTTCAGCATTTTTCAACTTTTTGTGCTCATTTTTTCTTCTTCCTTCAGCCTCATTGGGCAAACTTGATGCTCTTTCTGCTTCCTTCTGCTAATTTAAGCTTTTTTATGCTTCTTTAGCTACTATTCAGCTGTTTTAAGATAACTATTGAGCGATAGGCATTCACACATGCATTTTAGCAGGAAATGCAATTTCTCTAGTTCCATTATTGTGATTAAAACATTTACTAGAAACAAGCTTTCTTAAATTTAAAGCAGTGGTGTAGTCTACATTTTTGTAGTGGGTATACTGTGCTTAGTTCAAAGTACGCCGGTTAGTACAATGTAATCGTCAATTGATTTAGATTTTTAAGCATACTGAACATTTCCACATTCATCTGATGCTTATATTTGAATAAATGTACAACAAACTTCGTACAACAGTTGGCTTTGTATTATAAACATGTTATATAATTTATAAAACAGTATCAAAGCAAAAGTTCAAGTATTAAGTAGTAAGTACAGAATTATACAATAATTCGCTGGATAAGCGAATGTTATTAACAAGTGCTGCATACAGAGATAGATAGTTACGGAAGCATTTAACAGCTGTTTACCATTTCAATGACGTGCCAAATATGTCATGTATCACTGGGTACTTTTAAGTGGATATACTGAAATTCTTGAGCTTTTCTAGTGGGTATATGCCCTCGTATCGCGTAGACCACACCTCTGGTTTAAAGCTACTAGGAGTAGAAGTAACAATACTGTACTCAAAGTTTTTGTAATCAAGTAGATTTTTTGGGGGTACCTGTACTTTTATGAGCATTTATTTCAAGTGTGTAATTTTACTCAAACTTAAGTACAGTTTAGACCATGCCATCTACTTTGCTACTTTTAAAAATCAGAAGTCACTACTGTATGGCTGCAATTTGAATTAATATCCAAACTGTTCATCTGCATCTTTGTAGCCAATAAGGCTCTCAGATCGCGAACGTGCCAATTACCTATAACATAAGCAAAGGACGGGCAGCACGGTGGCGCAACTGGTAGAGCTGCTGCCTCTCAGCGAGCCGGTCCTTGGTTCGAACCCCAGTCCAGGGGCCTTTCTGGGTGGAGTTTGCATGTTCTCTCCGTGCATGCGTAGGTTTTCTCCGGGTACTCCAGTTTCCTCCCACAGACCAAAAACATGCATGTTAGACTGATTGGTAACTCTAAATTGTCCCTAGGTGTGAGTGAGAGAGTGAATGGTAGTTTGTCTCATTTGTCTCTTTGTGTCCCTGTGATGGACTTGCGACCCGTCCAGGGTGTACCCCGCCCCTCGCACAGTGATTGCTGGACATGGGCACTGACGACCCCCGTGACCCAAAATGGAATAAGCGGGTAAAGAGCTGAGAAACGTCAAAATTTGACGTTTCTCAGCTCAAACCTTCGCTCTGAGAAACGTCAAACACTTAAACGTTAATAACTTCGGCTAGGAAGGTGCTACGCAAGCTATGTCCAATTTGTAAATGTAAATAATGAATCTTCATCATACACCAAAGTTAGTAGTGGAGTTCCTCAGGGTTCAGTGCTATGACCAATACATCTTATATTGGCTTCCATTAGGTAATGTTATTAAACAGCATGGGATAAATTTTCATTGTTATGCTGATGATACACAGTTATATTTGTCCATTTAACCCAATGAACCCAATCAGCTACTTAGACTACAAGCATGTCTAAAAGACATAAAAACCTGGATGACCCTTAATTTTCTTTTTTTTAAACTCAGACTAGACTGAGGTTTTGGTTTTTGGACTTGAGCATCTTGGGAATAAAAATGTCAGTCTTTCGCCCTCCTTGGATGGCATGTATGGAGTTTGCATGTTCTTCTTGTGCTTGCGTGGGTTTTCTCCGGGTACTCCGGTTTCCTCCCACAGAAAAAAAAACATGCATGTTAGGCTGCCTTCAGGCCCAGGCCTCCCTTGCAAAAGAGATCTGTGATCTCAGAGGAATTCGTCTGGTTAAGTAAAGATTAATAATAATAATAATTAATCTGTCCTCCAGCTCTAATGTGAAAAATCTTGGTGTTATTTTTGGTCAGGACGTCTTTTATCCCCCACATTAAAATAATTACCAGAACCGTCTTCTTCCATCTGCGTAATATCGCTAAAATGAGAAACATCTTATCTAAAAATGATGCAGAAAAACTGGTTCATACAGTTATCACATCTAGACTGGACTATTGCAATGGTTTGTTATCTTGTCACGATCCGGCAGGGTGGTGTAGAACTCATGTGCAGGAGGACCGGATGGCTCAGAGACAAAAATGAGAATTAGTATATCTGCACTAACATAACACTGAATGCTGACTGGGGCAGCAATAATTTATCAATACCCCCTGGGTATAGATAGAGCAGGTACATGGAGGTGGACAGACAGAGCAGGACCACGGATCATGACACCATGGAAGGACAATGCTCAAATATGTTGGGTGGGCAGCATTCAGACTAAACAATGGTTGCTAATGAGACAATCAGGAACACCTGCAGACAGAGAATAGAACCAGCTGAGATCATCACATGTACAAATACTTCCTTAAAATGTCTTCAGTTGATCCAAAATGCTGCTGCCAGAGTCTTAACTGGAGTTAGTGGGAGAGATCATATCTCTCCAGTATTAGCTTCTCTCCATTGACTCCCTGTCAAATCCAGAATAGAATTCAAAATTTTACTACATTTTACCTACAAAGCTCTCAACAACCTAGCTCCATCTTATATTAGAGATCTTGTGGTTCCATGTTTTCTTAACAGAGCACTTCGCTCTCAGACTGCAGGCTTACTTACGGTTCCTGGAGTTTCCAAAAGCAGAATGGGAGGAAGATCTTCCAGTTATCAGGCTCCTCTCTTGTGGAACCAACTTCCAGTTTCTGTCCGTGAGGCTGACACATTGTCCAGTTTTAAGACTGGGCTTAAGACTTTCCTTTTTGATAAATCCTATTGTTATGGTTGGCTTGTTATACTGCTATAGGATTAGACTACTAGAGGACAAAACTGACATAATTTCCTTAAATGATTTGTTAAAACTGAATAATTTTCATTTGATACTATTTCTATCTTCACATGTGATTCTTGACCTGCCATTGTGTATCTGTTCCTCTCAAACCCAGCCGGTCGATGAAGGTTTCTTCCTCATGAGGGAGTTTTTCCTTTCTACTATCGCCTTCATGTTTGCTCAAGATGATAGTTCTGTGATGGAGTTAAATTCAAAGCAGTCTTCTCCTCAGATAAATAATATTATTAACTTACTTTATATATATACTGTAAATATGAATGTTTCTGTTCAGCGTCCTGAGATGACTTCTGTTGTGACTTGACACTATATAAATGAACTGAATTGAATTGAACCTTTCTTGTGTCTAGATTTAGCCACACACTAAAATGATTGGAAAGTTGGTACCTCACTTATTTTACAAGTTATCAAGCTCACAACATGCACAGACTGATAGAGGGCATTTCCAGTTCGCCCTCTTCGCTTTGCATCAAGAGACA